CTCGCACCGTCGGGCTGGCGGCCCCTCCGCGCGCTCCCGTCCGCCTCCTGTCTCCTCGCTCCTTCCCCGGCCTCACGCCCGACCCAAAGCATCCTTCCCGCCATTTTACTTACCAGGGAGTCGACTCAGGATCTGAAATCAGACACCAATGGACTGGTTTGTGGGCAGACACACACACACACGCACACACGCACTCTCGCTCACTGTCAGACAACCCGCGCGCGCGCGCGAACACATACACACACACACACACACACTGGCAACACAGTGTACCTAGGTCACACATGGACGTGTTCAAGGGACAGCACAATGTTAGGGATTTTTGTCTTACAGGAGGACAAGCATCAGCCACCAACAGCCTCATCTGAGGGCCCGATTGATACTTTGATTTCTGCTTGTATTCTTCCTTCGAACTCCTCTTTCTTTCCTCTCACTCCATCCTACCCTTCCCCCATCCACCAGGCCCCTCCACGCGGCCCTCTATTGGCTTGCGAAAGAATGCTTTTATTTTATGTTATTTTTATTTTCTTAAGCACAACCGTGTGAGGGTATTGGAGGAAAGGCAGGCTGCTCACGGGGAATAAGCCAGTGGATTGGGTGGCTGGAGTAGACTAAAGCAGTCATGTGCTCCAGAAGAGGTGATCTGACACATTTTGATAAGTTCTTTATAAGGAAGAATAAAATAAACACTCAAGAAAAAGATTCCTTTTGTAAAACGCAAAAGCCACATCTCTTTTCTGGACCCTTCTGCACTGGGATTTGTTTGCTTCCTTTTCTGTTCCGTTCTTCTCACGGGCTCTGTGCCCTTGCTGGTTTCGTGGTCGTCCTGTCGTCCCTAGTGACCCTCGGCCACCTCCCTGGCCCCTGCCGGCCCCGGCGGGTGTACTGGGACAGCTACAACCCTGCAACGTTGTACAGAGACACACAATCAGCTCTTTCTGCATGTGCCGGTCAAAGCCAAACCCAGAGAACAGAAGCGCTTTCTAAGAATGAGCAAGCCTGTGAAATAGGATGTTTTGTGTAGATAAAGCATTCTTGTTACATACTGGTCAGTTTGTGATATGTTTTAACTTATTGTCTGTGCTTATTTATGGAATTTGGTTTTCTTAATAAATGTTTGAGCTAATATAAAGCATATTATTTGACTTTTCCGGACAAGTTTATATCAAGTTCAATGTAAATGGATACAATAAAACCATTTTCAGTATGTGATATAGAGACGAACGGATTCTGGTGTGCCTTCCAACAGCAGAGGGGCTTCAAGTCGTGCTTCCGTGGAGCGGGATCCTGGGGGAACTGGGGTTCAGTTTGGGGGTTGCCCTGGAAGGCCCGAAGCCCCAGAAGTCAGACCC